GGCTTCTGGATCCCAGCACAGAACCTGCAGAACTCGCCCTTCCGCAGCCCACCTCGCTGTCCCTGTAGTCACCGTTCTCCTGCCGGTGTTTACGGTTACTTCTCCTCAATCTTGTGTTAGGGGTCAATTACAGGAAGAACCGGTGCCCGTTAGAGCGAGCTCCTCCGTTTCGGAGGCTCTTAATGGAGCCCTCGGAGCTCCACCACAACAGGCAGCGCTCGGCAGCCAGGCGCTGGCCCGCGGTGCATTTCTGCGGGCGGCTTCTCCGCTCCCGTTTAGAAGCGGCTGAACCGGGACCGGGACCGCGGCCTCGGCCGCGCCCGGACAGGGTCCGGCCAAGCAGAGCCCCAAGAGCCCGGTCCTTGCTCGGCAACAGAGGAACCGGCCCCGCTGCCGCTTCCCGGCTCCCGAGGCCGCACCCGGCGATCCCCGGCTTCCCCCCCGGTGACCGCCGCCAGAGACACGCGGGAGGCACCGCGGGGGACCCAGCGCTCGCTGCCCGTTCCGCGGCCTCTCCTCGACGGCACCGGACCGGGAGCCGCGCTCCCCCCCCCGCCCCAGGACCCCTCAAGCCCCGGCCCCGCCGCGGGGCCCGGCGCTCTCTGCCCGCTGAGGGGAGCGGCGCGGGGGGAGGACGGGGACCGAGCCCTCCGGAACCCTCCGCAGCCCGGCCCTTACCTGCGTCCGGGGGGGCCCGGGCTCAGGCTCCTGCCCGGCGGCCGCCTCCTCTCCGCACCTCTTCCGCGTTCCGCGCGGCCATCTTGGGGGACACGGACGGAAGTGAGGGGGGGACCGGGGGAGACCCGGGGCCGGGCCAAAGGCAGCTCCTCCCCGCGGAACCGGAGCTCCCCGAGCGCTGGGAAGGGGCGTACGGGAGCCTCAGAGCGGGGAATTGAGGGCTCGGGAGCCGCCGTTGCTCGTGTGGGGTCCGTGCTCCCTGTGAGCCCCAGGATAAGGACAGGAAAGCACCGGGACGGGGCTGGTTTTACCTGGGCATCCCTACGGCGGCGGCGGCAGGAGCATCCCTGGAGGTGGGGAGGGATCGAGCCCCGGGCAGACGGAGCCGCCTTTCGGAACGGGGCTCTTACCGGAGGCAGCACGGAGGGACCTTGACCAGGGAGGGCCGTGACACCGCGGCTGGAGCGGGGCAAACTCCTGCTCCGGGTCACCGGGCAGCGGTGCCCGGCTCTGGGCAGTGCGGGCTCCTCACCCGCCCGTTCCCACTGGGATAGTTCCTTTTCTTCCTGGTGGCTGTGCTTGGATGTGCTGGGAGCAGCGCTGCTATCCCGGGGGGCACACGGAGCTGGGAGGGGACGCAAAGGGATCCCTTGGGATAATCCAGGCTATAGGATGCGGTGCTCAGCAAGCTGGGGGAAGGAAGGAGGGTTTAAACCACATCCCCACCCCCGGGGAAGGTTCCCTTTCTCCGCTCAGACCCCAGTACAGCATTTCTTATTTGGGCTTTTAATCCCATCGACAGGAGCTGCTCTCAGAGGGCTTCATTCATTTGCAGGCATTAATTAACCACAGCGGTCGTGTCAGCCTTGCTGAAAGCTCCAGAGCTCAACACCAAAGCCTCCGGCTCTGTTAAATCGCATCCCTGTAATAAATCGCCCTGCTCCACACACAGCCATGGGCTCTCTGCGGGGGGAGCAGCATGCCTGGGGGGGGCAGGCAGGACTGTCCTTGTCCCCTCCAGGCCCCTGTAGCTGAGAGCAATTGCTGGAATCGAGCCCCATGGTTTAAGTGTCCAAGATCCCCTGGAACTATTTATTCAGTACAAGACAGATAGGAACAAGCAGATGCCCAGGACACACACACACACACACTGACCCACCCTGCAGTGAGCCACCTCCTCCTGTAACCACCAACACCTCTGCAGCAGGACCCACAGCTACTTACTTCACCCCCCTGGCCCAGCCCAATTCCTGGTTTAGAGACCAAGCCCTGGGGGTTTAGAGACCAAGCCCCCCCCCCCGCAGTGTGGGGTCTGCCCTGGCGCATCCTCACCATGGGGGGACACAGCCTATGAGATGCTGCCACACTTCAGATACACAAGAACCCTAACCCATATGGGACCCATGCACCAGCTACACCAGACACTGCTGCACCACATAACAGAGAAGGGGCTCCTGCTCCTGCTCCTGCTCCTGCTCCTGCTCCTGCTCCTGCTCCTGCTCCTGCTCCTGCTCCTGCTCCTGCTCCTGCTCCTGCTCCTGCTCCTGCTCCTGCTCCTGCTCCTGCTCCTGCTCCTGCTCCTGCTCCTGCTCCTGCTCCTGCTCCTGCTCCTGCTCCTGCTCCTGCTCCTGCTCCTGCTCCTGCTCCTGCTCCTGCTCCTGCTCCTGCTCCTGCTCCTGCTCCTGCTCCTGCTCCTGCTCCTGCTCCTGCTCCTGCTCCTGCTCCTGCTCCTGCTCCTGCTCCTGCTCCTGCTCCTGCTCCTGCTCCTGCTCCTGCTCCTGCTCCTGCTCCTGCTCCTGCTCCTGCTCCTGGCCAGGAGTGCAGATAAAGCCTCTGCTCTAATTGCCACCTCTTAATAAGGGAGGGGAGGGGCTATGGGGGCTTACTCAGGAGCATCCCTGGGTTGTGCAGGTGGCGGGTGAGTGCAGAGGGGAGGCTCAGGGGAGAGCAGGCAGTGGCGTGGGTGCTGATAGGGAATTGGGCGCTCTCCTTGAGCACGAAGAGAGCACAAGGAGAAGGCAGCATCTTGAAGGGAACACCAGTACAATTCTTCCTGTTGTGCAACAGGAGACAGGCATTTCCCAAGTGCTCAGAGCCCAGGGAAATGGGGTCAGAGATGGGGTTTCATGGCTCTGATGCTGCTGGCTTTGCCCTCACACATGCTGGAGAGCTGCTCTGTCTGCATCGGGGTGACCTGGCTGCTGTTGCCGGCCGCTGGTTCCTGTTTGTTCCCACAGCCTGGAAATCCCCTGACTTCCCACGGGTCCGGGAAGCTCTCCCTGCCCCCTGCCAGCCCCGGGGAGAGGTGGCTCAGAGATAGAGCAGCAGCCCCCAGAGAACCCGCTGTGTTGGCGGCAGGGCTGGAGCCATCCTGGGGTAGGGGAGTCCTTTCCTTGCCCCCTGTGGCCGAGGGCTCTGGGATCTGCTCTGCTTGCTGGAGGGTGGCCCTGGGCTGTGCACTGAGCTCTGTGGGTCTCAACCTCATTTCCTCGGCTCATGAGCAGGTTGACCCCCACAACTGGAGGTGAAGCTCCTGCTGCAGCCACAAGCCCCATGCTGGGGAAGTCGAGGGGTCCTGGGGGCACCCCATGTGTGCTGGAGGGTGCAGGGAGCAGTTGATGCAGCGCAGATACAGAGCAGCAGCAATGGGAGCTGTGCTGTTCTCTGCTATGGATGGTTTCCAATCGATCCTGCCCTCCTGCTGCTGGGAACCCATTCCTCTCGGGAAGGGGAAGCACGGCACTTACCAGAAATTGGGTGCTGGCTTTCCAGCACTGTGCTCGGTGCCAACACTGAGGTAAATCACATGTGGCCGGGCGCTATCATGAGAGAAGCCTGTGAGGGAGCGGGAGGGGAAGGCAGGGCTGGCAGGAGCCAGGGGCTCTGCTGCTGCGCACCCCCATGGGGGCTCCTCTGCCTCCTGCTGCTGCTCTGGGCCTCGTCCCAGCTCTGTCCCTGCTCCCTGGGGGACATGGAGGAACTTGTTGGGACACTGCTCAGCCCCTGGCAACGGGCTCAGGGCTCTCTTGCCTCCACTTTGTGATCCTGTCAGCGCCTGTCGCTCTCCTGAGCCAGCAGAACCTGTGGATTTGTCCGTGCACAGAACTCCCTCCCAGGAGAAAGGCTCAACCCGGTGCAAAACACAGAATAAAGCCGATCCCAGCAGCGCCGGGGACCTCTCGGGGGTGTTTTCTTCTCTCTCTGCACGCACCAACCGAAAGCGAACAGCGTCAGCTGGAAACGGTGTCAAACACACACCGGAGCCTTTAACGCACAGGCGAACCGGGGCAGGCGCTCGCTCCCTCGCTGCTGGGGCTGGTGCGGAGCCTCCGGCTCCCCGCGTCCCCATTTCCTGTCCGTTGTTTATTACTGTCCCGGAGCAGTCGGGAAGTGCGGCCTAAAGAGCCCGGCGTGGCGGGCGGCGCCGGGCCCGCTCCTCGCACCGGACCGGCGGGACAGGCCCCAACCCGTCGCCATAGCACCCGCTTCCCCCTCGCCCTTAGCCCCGCCCTCCCACGGGTGACGGGCAGCTCCCTCAGCCTATCACAGCGCTCCGCGGTGGGCGGGCGGGCTTGGAACCAACCGGAAGCGAAAAGCCGTAACGCCGGCCCCGCCTCTTCGTACCGCGGCCGCAGCCAACCAGCGAGCGGGCGCGCAGGGGCGGGGCCGGCGCCGTGGCCAATGGGAATGCACGTCCGTCGCCAGGGGGCGGGGCGAGGCCCGCTTGTTGAGGTTGGGGAAGGGGAGGGGGGGAGCAGCGGCGGGAGCGCGGCGGGGCCGGGCGGGGGCGGGAGGTAAACAAGATGGCGGCGGCGGCGGCGCGCGCGCGGCGGCGGGGGTAGGGCCGGTGCGAGCGGGGCTGCAGCGGGACGGGGCCCGGCAGAGAGAGGGCAGCGGCTGCCGGGCTTGGGGCGGCGGAAGAGCGCGGCGGGGGGGGAGCGGGGAGCAGGGCCCCGGCCTGGTTCCCGGAGCCGGCGGCGGGGAGGGGGGGTTGGGGGGGGACGCGGCCTCACGGCTCCTTCCCCTGAGGTGACAGCGGGGCGCGGAACCCGGGGCTGAGGGAGCAGCCGGTTAGGCCCGGCCGCGGCCCGCACGGCAAGAAGGGCCCGGTCCGAGCGGGCTTCCACCCCCGGCCCCGCGGTAGGAGCGAGGGGCTCGGCCGCGGCTTGGGGGGAACCGGCGGTCCCCGCGCCCCCGGGGGTCCTGCTCCTCCGGGCTCCATCGTTAAAGTGTTGTGTGCCCTCGTCGCTCCCTCCCTGCCTGTCCCGGGTGTGGCGGTGGTGCCGCTGCTTCCTCCCCAGCCCCACTGACCCCGGAGTGGGGGGGGGGGGGGAACACGGGCATCCTCTCAGCGACCTTCTTCTCTGGGCACGGGAATGGGGCGTCCGGGCCGCGGGGCAGAGGCAGTCCCCTCCTGATTGCTCCCAGGCAGGGCGAGTGCCTGGAGCCGTGGTGGGGTTTGTGTTGTGTGACACCGGCCGCCCCCTGGACCCGTGGTGGTGCCGCATCATGTGCGAGGTGGAACCCGCGCGGTTGAAGGATGCCCCTGGGAGATCTTGACAGGCACCGAAGGCCTCAAACTTTTGTAGGCGTGAAAAGCGAGGACGTGAGAATTCCCGTGTCCGAAAACTCCTTCAAAGAAACTTGGTTCCAGCTCCCAAACGGCTGAACTCCCCCCTCCCTCCCCAGCGCCCCATCTGCACCCAGGGGCACAACCGCTTCCCCCCCCCCCCCGCCCCGCTCGGAGCCGGCCGCTATGAGCTTCTAGGGATGGAAAGTCACGAAAGGGACTCGCTCGTTGCCTGGTTTTAAGCGGTGGCCTAAAGTCCCAGAGGATGACCTAGCACTTAAGAACCAAACTGGGCCACGGGGAAAGGCCGAGTTGACTCGAAAGCACCGTAGCAGCGGGACCAGGTCGGAAGCAAAGCAAGTCCCAAGCTGAGCGGCTCTGGGCAGAGATATATGTTCTTTTTCAAAGACGTTGTGTTGCTGGAGCCAGGCCTGGATCTTTTCGCATCCAAGTGAGCTGGAAGCAGCTCGTAGCTTTGTTTTGGGTTTGTTTTCTTTTTTTTATTCATGTTTGTACAATCTTCGGGAGATTTCTTTTCAAGAAGGAGTCAAAGGGAGTGTTGGAAACTCACAGACAGGATTAAACCCCTGAGAGCCTAAGGAGAACAGGTTAAGGAACTTAATCCAGGATGGATATGCAGGAGCCACAGCAGCTGGGCATGTTTGCAGAGGGCGAGCTGATGTCTGTGGGGATGGACACTTTCATCCATCGCATCGACTCGACCGAGGTCATCTACCAGCCCCGGCGGAAGAGAGCCAAGCTCATCGGCAAGTACCTGATGGGAGACTTGCTTGGAGAAGGGTCTTATGGCAAAGTCAAGGAGATGTTGGACTCCGAAACCCTCTGTAGGAGAGCTGTGAAGATCCTGAAGAAGAAGAAGCTACGGAGAATTCCCAATGGGGAGGCAAATGTGAAAAAGTAAGTAAATGCTTCCGGGAGCTGGGGAGGGAGGGGGTTAAAGTTTGGCATTATTTTCCAGCTGAAGTTCTGGCTCATGTTATCTGACAACATGGCTCTCTGCTCTGGAAGTGCTTCCTAAGCCAGAGGTATTCAGGAATCTCTGCCGCTGAACTGCGGCCAGCGCTTGTTGAGGTTGGGAGCAGGGGAGGGAGCTGGCTCCCAAGGGTTCTCTGTGGGAGCAGACAGCTCCTTTTAAAGAATAAACCAGGATTTCTTAAAGCAATCCCTCTTTAAGATGTCACCTTGAGGAGGTAAACTGGTGCTGTCAGCTGGGAGAGGCGAGAGGTGCAGGAGCTCACCTTGTGTCCTTGTGGTATATGCTAGCTGTGCACGGGGGCTGCGTGGCTCCTGATGGCAACTGGGTGGCAATTCCAGCTCCCAACATAGGTGATCCAGCGTCCTGTGCACCCAGTGGGCATGGGAGGGCTTGGGGTTATTGTTCCTTTCTTGGTTTCATTTCCGACTGATGACTTCGGGGAGTAATTCAAGGTTCTCTTCACTTGGTTTCCGCATGTGTAAAATGGGGCCAAGGGTTGTCAACCTCCTTTAGTTCAGTGACTCAAGAGCTGTGCTTGGGAGCTTCCCAAGTGCTAGTTACGTGCTGGTTAGTCAGGGCACAAGGACCTAATTGAAGGTGGGAAAACATTTCCTGCTTGTGGGGCTGTGCTCCCACCATGCCCCCGTGGTGGCACAGCCCAGCCCAGGGCTGGTTATCTGCTGGTGCAGCCCGGACAGCGGAGCTGTGAGGGGTTATCTGGAGGGGAGGGGGGGAGGACGTGTTGCTGTTTGGAAGCTTCTTGCGCTGGGGCTGTAGCTGTGGGTGCTGAGTGTGGAGCTGTGACCTGGCAGAGGCTTGTTGCTGGTGCTGGTTTGTGTTTCTGAGCTCAGCTGTGGGATAGTTCACATCCTGTACTGGGGCTCGTGTCAGTGAGCTGCCTGTGTCTGCGTCCCAGGCTCTGCTGACAGACTTGCCTATGGAACAGTCACAAAACCTCCTGTGGGACCTCTCCTTTGCTGGCTTCAGTTCAGGATCGGGGTAAACTGTTGGTTAATGTGTAATAAATGTTTCTTGTTTTTCTGGTTAAAGGCCTGAGTGCCCCTTCCCACCCTTGCTCCCTCCTTCCCTTACATCAAGAGCCTCTAATGAAGAAGGGGGAGATTGTTTCCTCCTTAGTGAAACTTTGAGATGTAAATGCTTCTCCCCTGCAGTGAAGAAGGGCTTGCCAGACACCAGGAGGTTCGCCTGAGACCAGAGCCTGGTCATGGGCTCGAGTCCTGACGTGAACTCGAGCAGTTTGAGTCATGCACAGAGCCGGTCTGGGTCTCCTTTAGCTTCCCTAAGGTTAGTTATTAAAGCAGCCTGGCCAAGCACGCTCTGGTTTGCTGTGGATGTTTTTCTGGCTCAGCTGCACCTGCTTCAGAGCGCTGAGGCAGGTTTTAGATGTTGTAACCAGGGTTTACTCTAGTTCAAGTTCCTATTTTCGTCGCCGTGGCCTTTTCTCTTTGACCACCTATTTGGTTGCTTTACCTGCTGCTTCAGGGGTGACTTGAAGGCAAAACGTTGTATTTTGTGGGACCTTCGTCCTGTGGCACTCTGACCTTACCAAAGCCCTTTGGCACTACTGCAACAGGCTGTGGAAGCTGTCTCTGCTGTGGGTAAACTTCTTGTGCTGTGATACATCACCAAACCCCTATGGTTTGCCTGGTCAGTATGGATGGGGGAGCAAACCACTGCTGCAGGGTGCTCTGCTGATGGTATTTCTTTAATGTCACGTTGCTCGGCCAGACTCTGTTAAAGTTTGACTTCCTACGGCTCCATTAGAGCAGCTTTGCTGAGTGGTTTATACCCAGCAAGCTACTGGTGTGGAATAGAACAGGAGAGAATCAGGCTGGACCGAATCGCACCATTAGGTTCCAGTTCCTTGAAAGCCCCCAAGAAGTGCAGTAATAAGTAAAAACATGACTCCGGTGTTACAGTGAGCCCTGCTTCCAGTCCCGCTTGTGTCCTGCTCTGTACAAGGATGTCTGCAGACTTTGAGTGTGCTCTCAAGGGTTAATGTGTTCTCGTAGTGCTGCAAAGAGTGCACTGGCACTGAGCAACCAGGGCTCAGGCTGGGTGTAAAAGTGCTTCTCTTGGAAGAGACTGTTCACTATTTCAGTCTCAAAGCACCCTGTGGTACAACTGCATAGCCAGTGCCTGCTCCAGCTCAAATGAGGGGCCTGGGGGGGTTTAATCTGGAGAAGAGAAGGCTCAGGGGGGACCTGATGGCTCCCTACAAGTGCCTGACAGGAGGCTGGAGCCAGGAGGGGCTGGGCTCTGCTCCCAAGGAACAAGGGATGGGACAAGAGGAAACGGCCTCAAGCTGCACCAGGGCAGGTTTAGATGGAGCTGAGGAACAATTCCTGCCCCAGAGGGTGCTCAGGCATTGGAACAGGCTGCCCAGGGCAGGGCTGCAGGCACCGTCCCTGCAGGTGTTCACACAGCGTGGAGACGAGGCCTCAGTGCCATGGGTTAGGGGTTGCCTTGGCAGTGGTGGGGTAAGGCTTGGACTTGATCTTAAAGGTCTTTTCCAACCTGGTTGATTCAATGATTCTACACAGGATAAAGCTGCGCCTGTGACTTGGTTGATTTGACAGTGATTGAGTTCCTATAACGGGCTCGTGCCTCTGACTTCAGCAGAGGACACCTCAGCATCACTGCTGCGGCGGTGAAGGTGAAACTTGCATTGATAGTGTGTCATCAAAGAAACTCCCTAGAAAACAGTTCCTAGACTGCTGGCCCTTGGGTAAGTAATTACGTGAGCAAGTGATACATGGGCAGTAATGAGCACACTAATGATGAGCTGTGGAGGATTGTGAGGTCTGTGCTGTGCGCTGGGGACGTGGGGCTGGATTTGAAAAGCTCCAACTGTTCCTCCTCACCGCTGCTCCAGCCCCAGCTTGTCCCTGGTACAGTAACAGAGCCCTGGGAACCTCGAAATTGTGACTGAAATATGTTTGAGACATATGTAAAGTTAAATGATTCTTCTCTACCCTGAAATACGTGGGTTCTGCCCCTGAAAAACGAGCCCTGGCAGGGTCTGTGAGTCCTAGTGTGGATGGTGAGGGTTTAAACTCACAGATGCAACATTTCCCTACAGCAGTGTGGGGAATCTTCACTTCTCCCTAGGCACTACAGAGAAGGGCTGGGGTGGCTCAGTCACCCAGACAGGACTATGGCGAGTTCCTGCCTCCGGTTAACACAAGAAACGAGTTTAGTAGCATTGCCAGAGACATGAAAGAAAATAGGGAAGACTCTGTCTGGAGCAGCACCAGTTTAATAAAACTGTGTGCTAATAGCCTCACATTTTAATTAAGGGTTTGGGACTTCCTGTGCATATCCCAAGTGCCTTGTGCTGTACTTACCACGCTCTGTGAGTGCCGAGATTTGAAGAGATGTTCATTAGAGTCCCTTGGAGGTTTCAAGCGGGAGCTAGGCCCCCGCTTTGGGTCTGCAGCTCAAGAGCCCTGCACCTCACAGCAGGGACAGTTCTGCTGGAGGAAGGGCTTGTTGTTGGCTGCGGAGGCGTGGGCTGTACACTGAGATGGGCTCAACTGACTCAGCTCCGTTTCCTGGCCCTCCTAGTGAAGCGCCTGCCGAGCAGAGCTGGTGGCTCTGGTGCTTTCATTCTGGAGCTGGTGTGTGTTGGGGCCCTGTGGTAGAACAGTAAAACCAGAGCACGAGGAGCTGTGTTGTATTGTCTGGGCTTGTCCTGTTAGAGAACCCCAGCCTGGTTTGGGTTGGAAGGGACCTTAAAGCTCATCCAGGTCCAACCCCTTCCACTCTAAGCCCTGAACTGTTGGGATATTGAAACGTGGAAGATGTGGATCCACTCCGGATTCATCCACATGTGATGATGTCAACTCCTCCCCATGTCAGATGTTCACTCAGCTGTGTCAGGCTTAGTTTGCAGAAGGAGATAGTGCAGTGCTCTGCTCAGTCCTGTCTGAAACATCCCTCCCCATTCCAAGAGCGAAGGGTGCAGCTTCTCATGTGGAGACAATGACAAGTTGTGTCCTTGTGAGTGGAGTTGCTGCGTTTTAGGTGCAATCAACAGGAAAAAGCCATTCACCAGGTTGGCTCTTGGTTAACCTGCTCTGTGGTGTACTGGGGATGCTAATGTGTGATTTAAACTTGCTTTGCCTCTCCAGGATTACAAAATCAATCTGAACAAGCACCTAATGTCACTGCTCAGTTGTGTAAGGACCAAAGGAAGGATTCTTGAGCCTTCTGTAGCAATTAGCAAGGATGAAGGATGGTGCTAGTGGCTTTCTGGAACGTGCCAGCACTGGCATATGGAGCCTGTTCTCTGTGTGCATCCCTGGCTCTTGGCACAGGGGACGTGTCCAGTTCCTGTGCCAGGCTCCTCGGTGCCGCATGCTGCATGTGGACAGGCTGAGCTGGGCTCCAGGCACGAGCAGGAAGGGAAGGAGGGGTGAGGGTGGCTGCTCTGAGGCCCAAGGCTGTCACCACAGCCCTGCTGCAAGCCCTCACCTCCAGCATCCATCGGTCCTTGGTGGTAACATGGGACAGATTCACAATTTCTTGTCTCTGATAGAATCCTAAAAGCTTAAAGCTGTGGAGGAACACTGTGACCCGAAGGAAGGGAATGATCTGGCTGTGTTCCTCCTTTTTCCCTCGGCAAGAACAGCTTTGATGAAGGCAAGGCTTGAAACAACTGCAGAAAGAATGCTGCATCCTGTGGTGAAGATCTTACTAGACTGGTCCAGGAAGGGGTGTCTTCTCCTAGGCCATTCTTGGCACCTTCCAAAATCACGTAGCACATGGTACAAGTAGGTAGCTTTGCTATACGCAGCTCTGAGCACCACCATTCCCTCTTACCTGCCCAGACGAGGTACCTGGAGAGGGATAACTCGGATTCTGTGGCTCTGGCAGAACCATGTAAGAACCCACAAATTGGAAGATCTTTTTCTCTTCTCTTCCTCCTCCAAGATGGTTTCTTTTGAAGCAGGCTGGCTTGTCACACACTCGAGGGCTTTCTAGTCTGGAGAACCAGGAACAGAATTCCATAATGGAGACTATTCTGGCTACGTAATGGCACTGTTCAGTAGGGTGTGTATGGAAGTGATCACCATGTTGCAGGAAGCACAGCCTGGCCCTTCACTGGGGTTCTCCCTTTCCCTCTGAGAGGTAAAGAAGCAACTCAAAAGCAGCTGTTGTGATTTACATTCCACGTTAGGTTGTGGAGGTGGCAAGGAGCAGCTCAAAAGGTATCCCAGAAATCTACCCCAGGCTGGATTGGGAAAGGCAGGAAGCCACCTGGCCTTGGTTGGGAGGAGAGGCACCCAAACCTCATCCTTAGTGCTGTCAGAGGCACAGGCAAGCTGTGATAAAAGGGGGGGACTGGTGGCGTTTGGTGTTAATTTGGGGGATAAGAAGTAGCTTTGGGCACCTCCCGGGGAGGTGAGCAGCGAGGGCACTGGCTCAACAGAGCTGGGGGGACTGAAATGGAGTCAGAGGTGACTGCTCTGGCTGGGTCTGCTCCTTCCAGGATGCCAGAGGAGCTAAAAATAGCAGGAATCTTCCCTCTGGGAAACGGGCTGCTTGGCCCCTGCCTCATGGTGGGTGTGTGGCCATCGGGGTGGTTCACAGCATCCCACTGAGGAGGCTCATTGCACAGTGTGGAGCAGTGACCAGCCCCTTGAAGGTGAAGGAGTTAGCATTTGTGCTTTCAAGCTATATGACAAGGAGTGTGCTGTTGGGATCAGGATTTCCAGTGTGTTCCTAATATTGGAAGCTCTCTTTGGCTTCACAGCAGAAGAGTCCTGTTTAAATCCATGCGTGTGCTTGGCCCCTCTCTTGGCCTGAACCCTGGGCCCGTCTCTCTTCATTACAGAGACACTTCTTAGGCCTGCCCTGATGCTGGCTGCAGTTTCTAGGCTAATTTAATCCACTTCAGCCTTTTGGTCATTCCCATAATTAGAGCAGCTGCATCACTTTGTAAACCTGTGTGCCATTTAGACCCAACACTTTGCCTTGTTACCCCAGGTTTCTGCTTAGCTCCCATCAGGGCTGGGTCTAAAGCCATAGATGAGAAAGGAAAAGTGCCTGGCTTAAACTTTGGTGGTGAATAATTAATACTACCACTCAGGGATCCTTAAAAGACCTTTCAAAGAACCTGTTTGTGTTCCTGCACCATAGGAGCCTTTGGGAGGAGCAGTCACTGGTGGTTAATGGGCTGTGATCCGTCACGGTGCAGGCATGGGATGGGTGGCTTTGAGCTTGGCATGTTGTATGTTTGGGCAGAGGCTCCTGCTTCCAAAGCTGGCTCAGAAGTCCTTGTCAGGCTGCTTTCAGGGGTCCTAACTGCTGGAATGTCACCCTGCTCCTTAAAGCAGCTTAGCAAATGGAGCTGGAGAGAAGAGCGTGCGTGTGGTTTAGCACAAGCAGCAGCACAAAGTGAGGAGCAGTATCTGCACTTCACACGCCGACAGAACCACCCTGACCTGACTGTCCTGATTCTCCTGTTCCTCCTCTTCACAGCTGGGACTTTGCAGGCTGAGATTAATGCAAAAGATACTAAAATGTGGTTTGGGGCACGGTACAGAAGCCCGAGAGAGGAAGATGAAAGCAGCCGATAGGAGATGACAGACAAGGGTCCTCTTTCACAGCCGAGGGAAGGTGTCTGCTCATTCAGTTTTACTTTCTTTATTCCCCACAACAGGATTCAGTTCAGATCTCTGAACTTCTCAGTCAAGACAAATTAGGAGTTAAGGTTGGAAGAAATGGGGTGATTAACTGGAACTCCTGTTTTCCACCCATTCTTGAGACCGATGTTGTAATTCTTAGATTGGTCGCCACTTCACTTCTGAATCCTCCTGGAAATCACAGCTTCAATAAAGGGCACTGTGAAACTGCCTCCGTTTCCTACTGCCCCTGAGGGATGCGATGTGTCTTCAGGGTGATTTCTATACGAACTCATCTGTAAAGACACTTAAACTGATCCTACAAATGCACTGGCCAGCTTGGGGGTCTTTGGCCTTCAGCCTCACCGCTGACCAGCTGCTTGTGTGTTGTATGTGATGGTGCTCAGAAGGAAGGTGCTTCCTATCAGGAGGAATTGCTTTTTAGGCATAGAAACCTTTGATTTCCTTTTTTCTGGGGCAAGTAACTGCTCTCCAAGTTGCTTCCCAGCTTAGGTAACAGCTTTTGGGCTGCAGTTGTGCGCTAACTGCTCTGCCACGCTTGGCACTGGAGCACACCTCATGGCACGATGCTGCCTCGGTGCTGCCTCACACCGACATCTGTGGGGGCTGTTCCTGGTCACGATGCTGCTTAAAAACATTCCCTGGAGCCTGGAAGCCCGAGCAAATCTGTTCCTGCTCTTGTAACTGCAGATGACACTTGCGTACGAAGAAGCACGAAGCGCAAACATGAAAGGTTTGTCTTGGCAGTGACTGCCCTAGATACCGTGGTAAACACAAGTGCAGTGCATCATCAGGGGTGTAACTGGAGACACTGGTGCTGAGCTGAGCTCCCAGCACCGCTGTGTGAAAACCCATAACTGGGGGGAAGCTGCTAAAGCCACCTCCTTGACACATGGAGCAAATCGGGGTGGGCTTTGGCTTGCCTGGGCAGGTGACAGGGCAGCCTGTGCAGCTCCAGCTTTCCTTTAGTCAGCACTGCCTTTAACTGGGAATGATGAGGAGCTTGCCTGGGGCCATAGGGAATGGTGTGAGCGGAGCTGTGCAGGTGGGAGGTGGTGGCTTGGCTCACTGCACCAGCACCTTGTGAGATCTGGTGGTGTGATGCTGAATGGCACCAGAGCCCTGGCACGGAGCAGTCTTACCACCCATCTCCCGTGCAGCACACAGGTAGGTCACTCATTGAGAACACTTCTATTGTCTGTGAGCAATGGACTAAAGCTCCTGCCCTGAGCAGGCTGGCTGCGTGCTGCTGCTGAAAGGGCACTGGTGCCTGTACCCCTGCTCAGTGAGCAGGTTTCCTCATGATCTAACCTTGGACCAGCGAATTCAAGACCTTCTGTCAGTGTGCTTGGGTGACTCCAGTGAAGCAGTTGGGCCTAATACGGTTTGAAGTGTCTTCAAAATCCATGTGACTTAAAAAGCATTGATTTAATCTGTAGTAAGGAAATGGGCGTTTTTTAACACAACTTTTTTCCTTTCCTCTTCCTGCAGGGAAATTCAGCTCCTGCGACGATTGCGGCACAAAAATGTGATCCAGTTGGTCGATGTATTGTACAATGAAGAGAAGCAGAAAATATATCCTTTTTCTCACCCAACTGTAAGGGTTGAATTCCCACTGTTCTCTGCTGTAGTGCTGAATCATGGTAGTTCTGCTTTGGTCGAGCCCCCTTTGAGAGTTTCTTAAGCTTAAACTTGCTTGCACAGCTTTCAACATGCTGCATGTCTGGAATGCTTTCCACACAAGTTCCTTTTCTTGAGCTTCCCAGTTAGGGACTGAAATGTTGTGCCCAGGTCCCAGTTGCAGGGCTGGGGACCCTCAAACACTCTGGTTTATTATGTGACCTTCAGCAGCTCAGAGGTGAAAGAAGAGCTGTAGATCTGTCATTTCCAGCCTCTGGTCATAGCTGTGGGATGTCTCGGTGCCTCTTTTCCCCTGAAGATGGACATTTTATTGTCTATGCTATGTGAAATCAATGCCTGAAATGCTTTTTCCTTTAAGTCCTTGGCAATGGTTTAGGTATTTTTTGTCTCTTTCCATCACAAGAAGAACCAACCCTGCCCCTGGCTGGCACCGGGCGCCTGCAGCTCTCCCTAGGCAGGTCTTTGGCACCATTGCCTAAGCAGGTTGTGTGTTCTGCTGCTTACCCTTCCAATGGATTCCCAAGCCTCCTCTGGTTTGTTGTCCCTTGTGCCAGTGCTTTGAGTGACCTAAAGCTTGTAACAGTGGTGAGAGTTGAAAGCACATCCTCTGCAAGACCTACAGCCTGGCTTTTTGAGACCAAATTGCTCCAGTCGTGAGTTCAAGCTGTGGTTTGTGATCTCAGTGCATCTGTCGGACTTCACTGTATTATTGCAGTGCCCTGTTCCCCAGGTACATGTAGGCACTGACTGGTGTAACTGCCCACCTTAGCTTGCAACTGAGTAGCTGAGTTTTTGATCTCTGCCATGCTCAGAGTGCACTTGGACTTAACCAGTTTGGGAGTTTATTTTGCTGATCTGTTGGAGCTCGGGTTCTAAATCTTTGCTTATCTTTTTGACCGTGTTTTCTAAATACTTCAGAAAATGGGTAATTTAATTGTGTGCTTTAATTAGGCCAAACACTCTGCCACCAAATCATGAGTATAAAAAAAGCATGACAACTTTTGCCTGTTTGGTAGCCTTAACAGACCGAAGGGACTGCAATTCAATTACTGTCTATCGCAAGACACCGTTTGTTTAATAAGCTAGGCTGTTAAAGGAGAAGCACGGGGGAAAAAAGAGCTCGAGAGAGACCTCGTGTGTTGGTAACAGGCGATGACAACCCAAAACGTTCCTTCAGGAATGTGACCTCTCAAACCAGGGGGGATGTTCCCTGCTTTACTCTGTGAGCAGTAGTGTTTGAAGAGCCACAAACTGCTTTTCAGTGCTGTCCTCTTGCAAGGACAGGTTGATGTCACTATTTTTACCTGCTTCTACACTCCTAGAAAGTCTGTTTCTCTGGATGCTTATTCTGGGCAGGTACCTGGTGAAAGCTGGTGTTTCCCTGGGAGCAGGGTTCATCTCATCCATGATCGTGCTCTTGATTCCCCCTTCTCCAGGCACTCTGGCAGTGCCGGTGCCCGCTCAGTGTGCTGAGGATGCGAGCACTTGTGCAGCCACACAGTGATCAGGTTTGGGGATGGATCCACCTGAACAGTAGCTCACTCTCAGGCTGCCTGCTCCATGGGTCAGTCCCTTACTCACTGCACTGGCCTTGCAAGGAAGCAGTGCTCAGTGAAAGCAGTGTTTTGAGCTCCTGGATGGAGCATGCTGCAAAAGTGGCAGCAGTCTTTAGCACAGATCCCACTTACAGCCCGGGTCTCTTTAGCCTCTCCTGCCTGAAGAGGTACGATAGTATCCTGGGACATAAGCAGCTTCTTTTAGGCTTAGGTTAAGGCAGCATCTGCCAGGAATCATGAGTGACCAAGCACTGCTGTGGGGTATGGCTGCCTGGCAGCCCTGCTTCACGCTGCTCTGTAGCTGGAAGGTGCACTCCCTTGGCAAAGCCACCAGATGTCTCAGGGTCTGTTCTTAGAAGCCCCTCTCAGCGCAGTGTCTGCCTTGAAAAGCCCAGGGAGAGGAAGAAGAGGCAGTTACTGCTTCAGGCAGCTGTTTAGTTCATTCCATTAAAGCTTAAGGAGATGAACACTGGAATATGCTGCACGGGAACGTGAAAAGTGCCACCAGCTCTGCTGTAGCTGCATTTAATCCACACAGTTTCAAAGCAGCTTCCTACCTCCTGCTGCTGAAATACCACGGTGGGGCTGGGGGTGAGCAGCACTTAAATAGTGCATCGAGCTGTATTGTGTGGGGACGGGACGTGGAGAATAAGAGAAGCTTTGGGGAAGGTGCTGGGACCTCGCTGTCATTTCAGGTCCAGAACAGCCACGGTACTGAAGGATACGCTGCAGCCCAGGGTGCTTCTGCCAGGGGTTCCTCACTCTGTTTGCAGCCCCTTCAGAGTATTACCCTGTTTGTGCCACGCTTGTGAGATCCCAACCTCACTTCTGTGGGCTTCACCTCGTGTTTCAGTGGTCTCAGAGGTACAGGTGGCCATAAGAACCCATACACATGGGTTCTTTCCCTTGGCCTGGCTCACTGAGGGGCCCGGCTTTGCCTCCTGTGCCCCAGTGTTCTGCCTGCACTGAGAAGTGTTTGACCTTGAACTTTCCTTAACGCTGCCTTTACGTATATGGTGATGGAGTACTGTGTGTGTGGGATGCAGGAAATGCTGGACAGTGTCCCGGAAAAGAGGTTTCCAGTTTTTCAGGCTCACGGGTAAGTACAAGTCGGTTCCTTTGGTTTATGTGTGATCAGTTCACAGTCTGTGGAAGTCTATGAACTTTTTCTCCTCTAACTCTTTCTGCAGGTACTTTTGTCAGCTTATAGACGGCTTGGAATACTTGCACAGCCAAGGGATTGTCCACAAGGATATCAAACCGGGGAACCTCCTGCTAACAACCAATGGGACACTAAAAATATCGGATTTAGGCGTAGCAGAGGTAAGTGAGAACTGCAGCAAAGTCAAGCCTGTGGGAAGCGTGACAATCTGCAGGGAGGTGACCTTTGTGGTGCCAAGTGATTTATTGTGCAGTTGGGCTTCTGTTAAACTTGTGGAGTGCTCTCGAGTGACTCTGAATATTTATTGCCATTGGCAAACCACTTTTGTTGATAACAGCACAAAACTTCCATCCGGGAAGCATACGGAGGAGGACATCCATCTCAGAAAAGCCCACAAGCGTGGTGAGATGGTGATGAGCTACATAACCTCATCCTTCTTGTTATTTAAAGGCTGTTTTAGCCGGGTAGGAGAGGTGTGAGGATTGTCGCTGTTGGCATGTAGTTGCTGCAGTGGCATGTTCTCATGACAGACTCAGCACGGCGTCCCATGTGAGCAACAGTTTAGTATCAGAGGTTTCCTCTTTTGTTTCTCTCACGGTTACAGTTTGTTTGCCTTGGAAGTTTGAAGCTAATGGGTCTCTTCTGCCACAGGCATTGCATCCGTTTGCAGAGGATGACACGTGCAGAACGAGCCAAGGGTCGCCGGCATTCCAGCCACCAGAAATTGCCAATGGCCTTGACACCTTTTCAGGCTTTAAAGTAGACATCTGGTCCGCAGGGGTCACACTGTAAGTGTCTGTGCAGCACCCAGCAATTGCAGCAAAATGACAAAGCCCCACATAGCTCAGTCTTGTGCTGTCTGCTGCCATCGCTGCTCTTCTGTACGGTGGGGGGGGAGCAGGGATGGGGGGTGCGTGGTGGTACCTGCTTTGGATGGGGTTGTGTTCTCCTGCTCTGTGTGCTTTTTCTCATACAGCTGCTCCTTTTGCCTTCACAGATACAACATCACAACGGGTCTGTACCCCTTTGAAGGGGATAATATCTATAAGTTATTTGAAAACATCGGGAAAGGTGACTACACAATTCCAGAGGATTGTGGTCCTCCACTCTCGGACTTATTGAGAGGTGAGTCTCCCAGCTGGCTCTGCAAGGGTGAAACTTAGCAATGCAACAGATGCTCAGCTTGCATAGTGCTGGGGAGAGCTTCATTCCAAGTATCCTGTGAAGATACAGGATCCTGTTAGAGAGCGTGGTTGTGCTTGGGAACCTTATAAGCCTTTGAAACATCTGTAACACAAGCATTTTCCTGAGGTACACTAAGCATGAGTTGCAGTTGCTACCCCTTGTACAGTTGGTTCTTGCACCATGATTCTTGTGCTCTGAGAAGCTGTTGCATCTAAAGACAAAACCCACAAGAGGTTAGATTTAAAATGACATCGTAGCATTGATGTAGGTTTTGCAAGGGAGAACTCAATGAAATCCCTTTCCAAGCTTTCCGTACTGTGAAGTGCTGAGTGCTCAGGCTCTGCTGTCCCTCCTCAGCTCTGCTCTGAATTTACTTGCTTCAGTCCCAGCTGTCATCTCCTTCCCCTCAAACTGAGAGTTACAGTTAGGATACTGTGAGCAAAGTGACTGGTGCCCAAGGGCTGTGGTAGAAACAGAAGCAGCACTTTCTGGGTCACAGGAGAAAGTTGTGGCTTTTGTTTGGGTTTTCTTTCGCTCCAGTCACTTACTGCAGTAGTTTGGGGTTTAGTGCTGAGCAGTGTCTGCTTTGGGAAGGTGAATGTCAGGGCAGCAGCCACACTGTGCATAGCAGCTGCCCAGCAGTGCCTGTTTGGCAGCAGGTAGGATGTGACTGAGTACATGGGAGATCCCGACCAGCATTCCTGCAGTCCCATCAGCAGAGGACAGCCTTGTGTGGTCACACTCCCCAGCCCTCAGCAGGGGCACAGGTCTTGAGCTGTTTGTGAGGGATCAGACCTTGGATACGGGCTGACACTGCCTTGGTTCAGGTTCATTTTTCTGGTGCTTGTGTGGGTGAAGGCCTGTGAGCAAACCACAGCAGCTTCCCTTCCTCCTGTCAGCCCTGTCCTCAGGTCTGCAACCGGTTGTGTGCTGCCCTCTGCATGCTCATGGGGCCGTTGCCTTTGAGGGTTCCAAACCAGCTTATGGCTGCACCTCATGCCACAGGCAGCACATGAGGACACTGCTCCCGATGGCTGCGTGGAGCTGGGGCCAGTGCTGTTTCTGTGTGCTTCAAGAAGCTGTAACCAGCCCTAAGAGCTTTCAGAAGGCATCACACAGGCAAGAGCTTCCAGTTGTGCTCAGTACAGCTGGTGCCATGGTCGTTCTGAGCCTCATGTGGCCACTGCTCGCAGCCCAGCACTCCCGACTGTTGCATGCTCCATGTCGTACCCACGCACCCCAGGGAGCAATGTCCTCATCCGTGTGTGGTGCTTGTTTTGTGAACACTCACTCAAAACATGGCCTTTTTTATGAGCCTGGGAATTGCCCAAATGGAGCGAGTCCAGTGGTCTGTCTGGACAGGCTTCTGAAGCGCCCAGCAGAAACCATTTGAGGTTTGTGATAAGCCTCTCTTCTGCACTTAGTGCTGTCCCCCAGGGAAATGAAGCGTGGCAGTTGTTTCTCTTTCTTGTCCTGAGGATATTGATAGCTTAAAATCTTAGGCTTCATTAGCAGAATAACTCCTTTTCAGTTCTCTTTCCATCCCCTGTAGAAGACCTGGAGTCAGAATTTCCTACTTTTCCTTCTGCCTCATTGTAAATGGAGGAGCCTTGTGCCTGATGCCCTTTGTGCAGCTCTTACGCCTGTCTTGAGTTGCTCCCTTCATCCTGGCTGCTCTTTGTCATCCTCCCCTCTGCGTTCAGACACCACAGAGATGCAAGCTGACTGTGTTTGGTAGGCAGAGGAGATGTCTGTGTCACCTGGACCCTTTCGCCCAGGGTGATGGGAAGCTCTCAGGATTCCCATTCCTGTCCTCTCTCCGTCCCACCTGAGAACTTGCTCCTACCCCTCCTCTTGTCATAGGCACCTGTAACACAGAAAAAGCTGGCAAAACCTGGTGTTCTCTGGTCTGTTTTGCTGCTCTTGACGTTTCCTAGTTGTTGGAGTGCACAGTGAATCTGTGGAGGATGGATTACATCGAGTTGCCCCTTCCCTCTGCTCTGTGACCGAGCATCCCACAGCCCAGCAGGTACCAGGGTGCCTGCGGCAGGGGAGGGCTGAGCCTCGTGGTGCTGATACTACGTAGCTATGGTGATAAAACCCAAAGGCTTTATTTAGTTTGCTCTTTTCCTCCACAACATCCGTGTTTCCTGGTAGGTGCCTGCTGCTTCTGCAGCAGGTTGAAGCTGAATCAAGAGCCTGCAGATCAGATCTTGTCAATGGCTGTCGGCTGCTTTAGTGAGCAGCACAGACCCGCACAGCTCAGCTCCGTCTCATTAGAGACTTGGTTTTGCCTTTGCATTGCTTTTAAAAGACTCTTGAAGCACTCTGCAGTGCTGCAAGCACTTGCTCTGGGGGGATTGTGAGGAAGGATTCAGGATGCTGCAAAGTGCTTATTTCCTCTCTGGCTACAAGTGCTGTGTTGACCACAGTAGCATGAAGCGATCACTAGAATACACCTTTTAAGGTTCTGCTGTTCTCCTCTGGACTGCTTTTATAGTGGTTTTTATTTTTTCTGCCCCTTGAGCTTGTTTTTCTTTCTTTGTTCCTCTTTCCAAAAGAAGCAGTGTTTAGAGGACTTTTAAGCTCCTGGGGTATTTGACTTATAAAGAGACTTGCAGGCCAGTGTATGTCAACGGATTAGTTGAGATGCTGCTCCTCTTTCTGTCTCCCTAATCAGGGATGAAGCTTTATTTATGCTCTTCCCTGACAGAGGAGCAAAGGGCCAGTGCTGTTCTGCCTTGTGAACAATGTGTCAGTGGAAGCATTTATAAATAGCCTTAAGGTTCTTCTGTCAGCATTAGCACATGACTTATCAACTTGTATGCAGTTTGCTTCTGGACAAGCAAAGTGACAGAGCTCAGCTCTTCTTCCTCCTCTTTTAATACTGAACGAGGAAGCTCTGAGACTGCAGTCACTGTGTTCACACCTGATTTTCAGACTCTGCTACAGCCCTTGGCACCTGGCACAGGTTGGTTGGTTTCTCACTCATGTGCGACTGCAGTGACCTGTCACTACAGCATGTGTTCTGGGCACAGTGGGTGCTTTAATTCCACAGGAGCAGGTTGTCCCCAGAGCACAGGGCAAGCACCCTGGTGTCTGTAACCCATCCCACGGTGACTCCTCCACGTGTTTGATCAAGAGCTCCAGGTTTGCCTGCAGAGGGAGTTTCTGGTCAGAACTTGGCTGTGCTTGCGGAGGATGAAGGAGAGGGGATAAGCTCTGTCTCCTGCCACAGATTGGACTTACAGTGCTTCTCTCTTGGTTGGTTTGAATGTTGATCCAAGCTGGAGACTCTGAAGTGAAACCCAGGCTGGGTTCATGAGCTCCTGCTCTCTGATTTCTCATTTCCCAAGCCATGTACCTGCTGTCTGCTAACACTGGCTATCCTGCCACGTGCTGTAGGGCTGCCTTGTCCCAGAGGATTGAGGTGTGTGGGCTGGAGCCTGTAAGGAGTCAGGACAGGCTCATGGCCTCCAGCGTCTGGATTGCACTGACAGGATTTGAAAGGGTTTTTGAGGCTGCTGGTGTGTGATGGGCTCAGAGCCCCATGTATGGGCACAGTGAATCCTTCCAGGTTGTGAGTGAGGCATCCCCTGAAGAGTCGCCCCATTCCAGAGAGTCTCAGCTCTGCTCACAGATGAACTGCATGGAAATCCTTCCCCTAAATGGGAGAAGAGAGTGTGTGGTTCCTGTGGGCAGACACTCTGAGATGACTGGTGAATAGTACATGATGTTTTGTCTTGAGGAAGTCTCTTCGCAGTACAGGACTCCAGCCACAGCGTTGCCACAAGTGAGTCAGAGCTGAATGCATGAATGTACATTATCAGTGATTGGACTTGCCATTTTCTTTCAAACATTGCCCCAAATACGGTCCCTTTTCAGTAAATACATACTCCTTCTCATCAGTTATCTTCCTGCTTGAGAACACACAGCTCTCTGCACCAGAGCTGTCTGTAACTGGTGCTGCTGGGCCTCTTCATCATAACAAGCTAGATTCCTAAAGCACCTTGAGATGTGATCTTTAAGTCAGTAAATGGGGGGGGGGGTCTCCTGACTTACCTGTTTCTGATGCCATGAATGATGTAACTGAGCCAGTTTTTGCTTTGGTGTCCCCTGAACTTCACATGAGGTCTCTTTGCAGTCCTATTTCTTAAAAAAGCCAACACATTTGGGCAGCTCAGCTGTGAAACTGCCTAATGATCTTAGGAATAGGTTATTAATAGGTTATTTAATTAGGTGGGGGACTTTTTTTTAACTCTGAACCACCTTCCCATCTCGTTTTTCAATTATTATTTCTTATGAGGTGAGGAGAAATTCCACCAGAACGTGAGAAAACTCCTTTACTGCAAGGGAGCCTGAGCAGGTTGCATTGAGGGGTCGTAGTTTCCATCCTCAGAGTCATTCCACACCCCACTGGACCCAGCCTTGGGCAAACTGAGCCTGCTTCAAGCAGGAGGTTTGCACTAGGTGATCTCCAGGGTCCCTTGCAGCCTCCAAGAGGGCTGTAGGGCCTGCTGGGGGGACATGCTGGAGCACAGGGCACTGCTGCCACGTACGGCTGGGGTCTGTAGCTGCAGCATGGGCTGGCAGTTGCTTGTTTCTAGGCTTTAGCCTGCTCAGGAGAGAAGATAGAAGGGAGAAGGAGCTGCTCAGGAGGCTGCCAGCCCTCGAGCAGGGAGCTGTTGCTGTAGCTTCACTCTTGCTCAGCCGTGTAACTCTGACGTAGCTGCGTGGTGGCTCCTGTGGTCTCAGCAGGGCAAGTGTCAGTTTCCTGTGTGCTCTAAAGACTCGAGTGCCTTGAGTTCATGAGGCCAGATGCCTGTGATGCACTTGACCTTCTCTAGCTCCTGTTTGTCAGTCAGCTGTGCTTCGTGTAGCCTTTCTTCTCCTTGCTGGAGATGGAGTCCTCCTGTTCTCTCCCCTCTGTCCCAACCTCTTCTCTTCATGCGGCCTGCTTCACCACTTCACAGCAGCACTGGTGCTGCAAGAGCAGCAAGGGGGGGTATCATCCAGTGAAAGCAAAACTCCTTGTAATGTGCAGCAGTGAGACTTTTTTAGTGTTGGTTTAGAGGAATGTGTTCTTGGACCCTTCGCTGGGGAGCGGCTTGGGTGCTGCTGGATGGGTGGGTTAGGTGCCACTGGCTGCTTTCTGAAGAATATGGCAAAATTTGCTGCTTCCCTCTGTTGAGTTGTGGAGCTTTTGAAAGGTAGTGGAGCATCCTGTGGGTCTGTTGAAGGAAACCACCTCCCTCTCTCCTAGAGAGCTGCGTTTCCTCTCTATCCTCTTTCTTACCCCCTACCCAGTTATCGTAGCAGGTGATGCCAGGAATCAGCCTCTTGGCTGGGGCAAAAGGAGGCACAGTAGATTATTCTACTTCCACAATAGAATTTCACTAGCCTGGAGTTTCTGGGATGCTGAGCAACTGGATGTGTGCTGAGCAACTGGATGTATGCTGTGCCTCAGGCTTTGGCTCTTCCATGGAGAGAGTTCAGTAGCATTTTCTGTGAAATGCAAAGTCTTGATGTTCTTTGCCTGAAGACACACTTGGACGTATGATCCAGGGCTGTGCAAGCTGCTGCCCCTGCAGGGTGAAGGAGGGAAAGGTCATATCCACTTTGCAGGTGGGGAAACTGAGTAACAGCCTCGAGCAGGGAGTCAGCAATGGAGTGGGGATGCTGTGCTGAGCTTCTTGTGCCTCAAGCAGCAGGTTCTTCCTTGATGTAAAGGCTCCCTAAGCTGCCAGGAGGGCTGGACACCCCAGTGGCTATTGGGGGAGGGAGGTGGGAGGGAAGGGCAGAGCTTTATGCTTTCTGTCTTCAACGTGGCTGAGAGCATCTGTGATCACACCTGGACTTTTTTTCCTTCTTTTCAGGGATGCTTGAATACGACCCAGCCAAGAGATTTTCAATACAGCAGATAAGGCAGCACAAGTGAGTGTTCAGCTTCTTCCTATTAGTCATTCTCTTTCTGCTTCTTATGCTAATGTACCTGTGCTATTGCTCTCAACTCATTTTTCCTTTTGACAGCAGACACATGGAAGTCACTAGATACCCTTCCTCCAGCTCTGCTGGAGCTCTGGCAACCTTCACTTGGCTTTTTTCCCTCCTATTAGAGCATCCGGTGCAAGCATTTGAATTGCTAACCAGTAAATAATGAATATGTTGGAAATCTGCTTCCAGTGTGACTGGTTCTTGGTAATTAAGGGCTCTGGATAGTGCTAATGGAGCAGAAGAACAGGGGTTCCTTAAAGCTGGGTTATTGAACTAGGACTGTTTAGTAATGTGTGTTAGTTCTGGTTTTCTGGGCAGTCCGGTGACAGAAATAGCCCTCAGTATTTGCTCCATATGGAATCAGGATGTGCAGAAGCATTCCAGGACAATAGGAATTTTTTTTTTCTTTCTCTTTAATGTCATCCTCCTCCCTCCCCCTTTCTCCTTGGCATTGTCTGGGGGGAGAAAGGGCCCTGTTATCTCTTAGGCTTTTTCTTTTTTTTCCTTGAGGATCTGTTTGAACGTGCTGCCTCGGAGCAGAGATTTCCTGGGCGGATAAAAGTACAAGAACAAAAAGCATCAGAAGGATGCTTCACTGCGGAGGCTGCAGTAGCTTATCTGCTCTCTGAATAGGAAGTGCTTCTGAGGACAGGCAGAGCTGCTCGGACCACAGCTGCTCAGCAGGGGCCCTGCCTGCCAGCTTCCCAGGAAGCTTTTGGGAACCTTGGAAAAACAAGGCTCTGGGAGGCGATGGCCTCCAACGTGCTTCCTGCAGGCAGGAAGAGCCCCGTTTTCTTGGTGTGTCTGTGGAAAACCACCAGCTGTGGTCACCATGTGGTGCCAGCTGCTGGTCCCTGGTAGAGGTCATGGCATGGGGAGCATCTGCAGGAGCCTCAGAGCCGGGTTTGAACCGTGCCGGTGTCCCACAGGGGAGCAACTGCTCCCTTCCCCTGGTGAGGATCCGAGGCAGGAGGCAGGTCTTGTGTAGCCTGGGCAGTCAGTTAAGCCAGGCCAACTGTTACCAGTAGCCAGGAGCTGTGCACTCCTTCCTCTGAGTCTGGGAGGGGATGGGAGCACACGTTGGCTTTTCAAGCCTCCTCTGCCGTGCACATGAGACGCTGCTTGGGGCTGGCCTCTGAAACGCTGCACAGCACTTGAAGCACCTATAGAGCTGCTCTTGGAAACAAAAGCTCCTGCTGTTCCTGACCGTCCTCCCCTCCACCACTGAGGACTGGAGTGCTTCAAGCCAGACAGCAAAGCACTGTTGTACTTCCCAATGAAGTAGTTCTCCTGTTCATTACAGCTGGTGCAGGGTGGTGACCAGCTTGCACACAGTCCCTTGCACTGAGAAGAAGCACAGCAGGAATTAAGTCCAGCAGTGCATTACTGGGTGGTTTAGAAGCACTTTCTTTCCTGTAGATGCTGTGGGTGAACTGCCCCTCAGCCTAGGGCAGCATAGCTGGTTCTTGCATGTATACGCTGGGTATTTGAGCCACTTACCCAGCCCTGTGGGCTTCATTTATACCTCTCCCAGGTGGCAGTGAGTTTTTGTGTCAGCTCTGCCCAGCTGGAAGCAAAGAGGCTTCTCTAGAGACCCTGCCTGCCTTTAGAAAGCCAGAGAAACTAGAGCAAGCTTCTGGCATGGGGGCAGGCGCAGATCCCAGTGATTCCTGTGCCCAGCCAGCCCTCTCCCTGGGCAGAGCTGCTGTGAGGAGGCTTTTCATCTCATAGCCCTGAGAGAGGCTGAGGAAAGGCTCTACCTGCAAACACAGGAACGTTTCCAAGGCTTAGCCCCTTATTAGTTTGCTGTGAGCTTAACCAGTGCTTCTTAACAGGCTTTTCTCCCCTGTTAGTAATTGCCTCCTTCCTCCTGCTGTGGCATCCTAATAATGACATCAAACCCAGCAGAGCTTGGATGTGCCTGTCCGTCTCCTCTCTGTGAAGGAGCATTGTGCTAAAGGATCCAGTGTTTGGTTCTCCTGGTTTTCTTTAAATAGAGGGAAGCTTAGCCCTTCTGCTTCACCTGACCCTGGTGTATTTTTGAAGCACACGAAGCAGCGGGGAGGACAGCAGGAGCCATTCGGGATCCTCAGAGGGGTTTTGGAAAAGCATTTCAGTAAGAAAAGGGTTCCTTTTTGTGTGTGTGTGGGAGAAATAGTCATTAATGATTTTAGGTTTCTCTACACTCCTCCCACAAAAGCATGTGTTAAGGCACAGGAACTAGGCTATGGAAACATCAAGCGCCTTCCCCAGGCTGCCCTGCTGGGATGGATACTGCCTCAAACCAGAATTACCCAGTGCCTTCCCGTGCTGCTGCAAGTCTCCTTTCATGTCTTTGAACTGCTGTGGCTGGTGCCTTGCTCCGGTGGACAAGGGAGATTCTCAAAGTGCCCTGAAAACCAGCTGTGTAGTGCCCTGAAAACCAGCAGTGGAGCCAGGTGCTGCCAGAGCAGGCTTGTGTCAGCACGGTGGGAAGGGTGATCCCAAGGGAAGTGTCACAGAGGAGGTGTCTGGGTGCTCGGGATCCATCCAGAGCTGGATAAACACCTCCCATGAGGTGCTGTTTCTTGCTGTCATTGGGGGATCAAGGATAAAGGGCTTCATCAGGGGGTGAGGGGAACACTGAGGAGTGTTGAGTCCTGCTCCAAGAAGCAGCAGGCATGTGTCCGTGGCCCAGCGATGGGAATTCTGCCATTCCTCCCTTTATTCTTGTCATCTGCTCCCAACACTTTCCCCCCTGCAGCCAGAGCCTTGCCTGAAGACTGCTGTAGGCAGAGACTACTTAGGGTGGTACCTGCCAGCTGCTTTCTCCTCCCTTCCCTTCCATAGCTGAACCCTTGCATCACGCTCATGGTTCTGCACTTGGTTTTAATTCAGGACAAAGCCACATTCTCCTCTTTGCTTCCAGAAGCTTTTCAGGCCTCCTCATGAGGCGTGTGAAGTGCAGCCTCCGAGCTGTGAACTGAAATGGATCCCAGCTCTCAGCCTGGGAGTTTATCAACTGCCAGAAGTTGACCCCTGCCTAACAGTGCAAGAGCCATGAAGCCTGCTCTTCCCGGAAGGATCGGGATAGGAAGCTGTTGCATGGAAAACTGAGCTCTTCACTTCCCCTTTGTGAATATTTCATACTCTGGGGAGGGAGGAAACACAGGCCAGTGAAGAGAAGCTGCCCAGAGCCAGGGAGTTACCAACCTGTTCTCTATAGACCATTCACCATCTCCTCTACCCTGTGCTTTTGCTGAAGGGCTTAATGCTCATACACTGCATTTTGTAGCTAATTCACTGACCCTGCTGCAGCACTTAGAGTGATGGAGTGGATGCAGAATTCTACCTCTGTCCCTCGTTTCCAAGGCAACCATCCTGCCTTCCTTCTCCACGAGTGTCACACTTAATTTGTTCAGTCGTAGACACGATTGCCAGAGTTGATAGCAAGAAAGGGAAGGTACTTCCACCTCCCACCTTTCATTAGCAGAGGTGCAGATTAACCTGCCAGCCTCCTGTCTCTTCCTGAGGCCCTGGAGCTGCTGTACCACCTTCCCCAGTGCTTTTATAGAGTCACAGACTGGGTTGGGTTGGAAGGGACCTTAAAGCTCACCCAGTCCCAACTCCCTGCTATGGGCAGGGACACCTTCCACTAGAGCAGGTTGCTCCAGGCCCCGTCCAAGCTGGCCTTGAGCATTGCCAGGGATGGGGATTTGTTCATAACCCTTCCCTGCTGGCAGGGTGGTGGCCTGCAGCTTGGCATCTGGTTTCAGAGCAAATTGTCCCTGTACAAAACAAGCAAAGTGAAGTATTTGTGACCTAGAATGGGAAGTGAATTAGCTGGGAGTGTTTGGAAGCTGCAGCTGTGCTTACTGCTGCTTATTTTAACCTTGCTTGTACCAGGACTTGAAAAGAGCGGAGTTTGTATCGTTGGCTCAGAAAACATCTGTGAAACTGGGAACAAATGGGGGAATATCTGTGGGCAGCACTAATCCAGCCCATGGGTTAGGGTCAGTGAGGAAAGGTGAGGATGGAGTCGACCTCATCTGCATCACTGAGCGATGGGAGAGTGGCCACTTTCCGGCTTCATCAGTGGGCAGCAGCTTCCTGAGCCAGATGGGGGTGTTTGATGGAGCCAGTGGTCCTCAGCTGAAGAGCAAGGCTTCACTGATAACATTTAGCACCAGTGCAGGGGCAGAATGTCTGTCCCTGCTGGAAAATTGCTTGCCGGGAAATACTCTGCTGCTCCATACAGAATTGCTTGAGGCTCCTTCCAAGAGGGCTTTGATTTTTCTTAGAACTTCAATGAATTTCTCTTCTCAGTCTCTAGCCTCATTACCATACATGCATATGCAAGTGTTTGAAATCACCTCCCAGAGGATGGAATCATTATGACTCGAGCACAGCGACTCAGGTTTCTGCTGTTAATAAAAACCTATTTTTACTCTCCTGGTAAGTAGGACAGAAGGAAAGCAAGAGGCAGAGCTGAAACACAGCAAAATAACAACACCGGTTGCTGGAGAGACTTCCAGGCTTCCTCCTTTGAAAAGGCTCCTTTTAATGGCAGTCATTCTGATCTCATTTGTCAGGATGCTCCATCCTCCTTAGATCCGTGCTGTTCAGTTTGGATCCCTGCAGCTCCGGTGGCTGTGTTGGCTCTGCTGCCCTGCACTGGGTGATCTTGCCATTTGCTTCCTTGATGAAAGCAGCCTCGCAAGGCAGGGAAATGAAATGATGGGATTGGGAGTGCTGTGTGCCATGCACATCACCAAGGAAGCCAGACAGGGGCCTTGCTAAAACTGCTGGCCAAAATCTGGTCCTGCTGGGCCAGCAGCAGGGCTGACGTTTTCCCTTCGCTCTGGTAATGCCTCTTCATGCACCAGAGGTGGAACCTGACCAGTCGGATCTGGATGGAACAGGATTCCTTGCATGGTGTTGACACATGATTAACCAAAACACACTTCCTTAACCTTCAGGCTACAGGGGCTGCCTTGCTCTTTCCTCCTGCAAGTGGCAGGATGGATGCTGCTGTCTTCCTCGCTTTAAAACTCAGTTGCTACAGAGAAGACAGCTGAAAGATGCTAATTGTGAAGCAGGTCCCTGGGTGAGGGTTCACTCCTCTGAATCCAGGCTGATTTGTCCCAGTAGCTACATTTTCATCTCCTAACTCTTTGCTTTGGCTGGATAGTTTTGTGAGAATGCCACTGTGTTTTCAGGCAATGTCAAAGCAATGTAAGACTAGAATGACATTAGATTTACAGTTCTCCTGTGCAGAAGGGGCATCCAACCCTTCCTTCCTAAAACGAGTCTGGAACTGGAGTGATAAAACCTGACTGGCTCAGGGAAAGGAGTGGGATGTGTTGGGGGGTGTGGGCTGGAAGGGCAGGTTAGAAATAGCCAGGTCTGAAGGAACTTGTGTTCCCACCTGCATTCAGAAGAGAGGATCCCATGGAGTATTCCAGCAGTGCTTCCAGGAAGCTCGGTGCCCACGTGCAGCACTGGCAGATGTCCCAGAGACAGCCCAGTGCTGGACCCCTGCTAAGAAGGATGATAAGAATGCAAGAGGGCACCCAGCTGGCTCCTGGGATGCTGGTGTGATGACCGTTAGTCTCTTGATCTGGTTAAGAACAGCTTTCAGAGCTGATACCCTTTGCTGGGCAGATGGTAGCACTCTGGGTTTAAGGGTAATAGAAGTCCTTTGAGACAGAAGTGGGATAAAGGGATAAAGGAGAAGCGTTTCTGCTGTGGCCTTGTTGGAAACTGCCTGTTAAAGGAGCTCTGGAGTAAATACCGCTCTCCTTAGACTGACATTCTGCAGACTTTGTTGTCTTGTGCTGGATTAACCTCAACTTTAGGAGAGGAGTTCCTTCTGCTTGCTTTAACACCAAATCTCAGAGCTCTAGCAGCTCTGCTGTGTTTTGACTCATCGAGGGTCTGGGCTCGAGTTGGTGATGGGGAAAATGTTCCTGTGCTCTGTTTCCAGGCCCTGAGCTGCTCTTTGTAGATGCAGGTGTCCCTGTGGTGCTGTCAGCAGGACACCCACCTTTCTTGAGTCTCCTCCCTTTCATTCTACATTAAAAACCCCGCAGTGGCAGAAAACCATCTAGGAGGCTTTCCATGCTGAACCTTTGAATGTTGGGCTGGAATGGGCCCCTCTGGTGGGGTGAGGGGTTTCTCTGTGCCTCCTGGGCACTGAAGGCGTGCTGCTGACCCGCTGCTCTTGGCCTCTTTGCAGTTGGTTTCGGAAGAAACACGCTCAGGCAGAGGCTCTGGTGCCCATTCCTCCCAGCCCAGAAACAAAGGACCGGTGGAGAAGTATGACGGCGGTGCCTTATCTGGAAGATCTGCATGGCTACAATGAGGAAGAAGATGATGACTTGTATGACATTGAAGATGATATCATCTACACTCAGGACTTCACAGTACCAGGTAGGAGGGAATGGTGCTGGGATGGGTAGGGCAGAAGTGGCTTGTTTTCCATCCATTTCAAGCTTTTCAGGAAAGGCCTCGAGGTCCAACTAATCCTCTCAGCAGTGGAGGAGACTATTGATTACTATGGGGTGAGTCACACCTGGTGAGTAGCTGTGATGCTCCGGATGCCTCCATCCTTTACTTGATCAACCAGGATGCCCCTTCCTGTGCATTACCCATATGCCCATTTCCTTCCTTCATCCACTAATAGCTGCTCCTCCTGGACAGTGTTGTTTAGCACATTTAATTCTTTTGCTAGACTGAGTTATTTTGGAGCAGAGCCCTAAAATGACTCAGTGTTCAGAGGAGATGGCACATCTGGAGAAAGAAGGCTGCTTGCAGCCTTACACTGAGCTCTTTTTTCTGCTCCAGCCTTGGTAACTATCTGCTTACAGATTTGCTTCTTCCTTTGTTAGGGGTTTCCTGTTGTTTTAAGGTGAGCCAACCAGTAAGTGCAGGGGGGTGTGTGGTTTCAGCCATGCAGCTCTAACAAAGAGGTGGTAATCAAATAGCCTGTTCTTTGGCCTGGCTGTTCCTGTAAGCCATGTGGCTGGTGAGGGCTGAAGGGCATGGCTGTGGTAAGACTAAAGACAAAAGCTGCTCGGTTTTAGTCATCACAGCAGTGCTGTGTGATCAGGGCAGGTTCCTTGTCTCACTGCCTCCATCAACAGAACATGAGCTGTAGATTGACTGCTCCAGCCTGGTTCAGTTGCTTTGGAGGGCAGGTGTCAAGTGCCGTTTGTAGGGGAGCTCATGGGCTCACCACCCTGTGTTAGAGGTTCCTGTGCCCGACCTTCCCTTGTGATGAGGAGAGCCCTGGCTTCTGTAGTTCAAGACTGATGCTCAGCCCCCAACAGGGTCCAAGCACATCCACTGGTGGGTCCAAGGGGGAGCTGCCAAGATGATGGTGTCTCAGCAAAGTGGAATCAGTCCATTTCCAAGTGCTGATTCACTGGTGACAGCTGGGGAATTTATAACCCTTTCTAATAGGAGGAATGTCCCCGTGCCAGCTGGGTGACCCACAGAGCTCTGTCCTCTGCTCTCTTCTTACATCCCATGGACTTCTGTGCTGGAATGTGATCAGGGCCAGGCCTTTCCTCATAGCTCAGTGGAGGCTTCTGAAGGGAGGGATCCTCTTAAAAAGGCTCGTGGAGCACGTACTTGATTGATGGGGCCCTTCTAAGTGCAGAAACAGGAGAGACGAGAACTTGCCAGATGCGTTCCCTGTTGTCAGGGTTTGCTGTTTCCCTCTGCAAGAGCTCTCACTGGGAACAGCCTGTGCATAAGTGCCCAAGACTTGATTCTGCCAAAGTGCTGGGGCTGGGAGCCCCATCACAGGCAGTGGGACTGGGCACAATGATGAGGCTTGAAAATCCATAACCAGCATCACATACATCCCTCTCTTGATGCTATATTTTCCTTCCAAACTGGCTTCAAGAGGCAGAAGGTACCGTTGGTCTGTGTGTAAGCTCCCTTGGAGGGCCAGATGATAACCTCGGTGAGAGTGGATCTGTTGCTCTTAGTGCTTGACTGTCTCAGGCAACCCAAGAGCAGAGTCTTAACTGCTTTCTGGGTGTCAGTCTACAGAGCAAGCTTGTGCATCTCTCTAACAGTGCTCTGTTGCTTCCTTGTGCATTCCCAGCTGCAGAGGAGGAGGAGGAGGAGGAGGAAGCAGAGGCAGGGCTTAGCGGACAGAGCAGAGCACTGAGCAGCCCTGGAGAGCTGTTTGCAGAAGAAGCCGTGCTCCCACCAGCCGTGAGTGCAGAAGAGGAGAGTGAAGCTTAGCCTAGGCCCCAGAGCCACTGGCCCCTTGGGCTTCCCTTGGCCTGAGCTAATGGCAGTGGCTGGAGAGTACAGGATCATCTCCCTGCTTCCCCCAGGAGCCTCCCTGTCTCCAGGACAGTTGCATTGTTTCCAAAGCAGATAACTTTGTTCCGCAAGGGAATCGTTCCTTAGCTTTTGGGTTTGTATTTTTAAGCAGAGGGGCTCAATGCACTGTAATGAGATGGTTTGTGAGCCCTTGCAGAGTGGGTTACTGGTGAAATCCAGCCTGTTCCTGCAGACCTGCTCCACGAATGAGTTTGGACAGATGTGTTCCTCCCTGTTCTCACTTCTGGTTGCAATGTTCTGTCTCCTTTTAGCTTCCCCAGTGGGGATGAGCCTGCGTTGCTGCCTGCTTTATGGGATGTAAAAAGCAGAAGCTTGGGCAGACTCCCCACAGCAGTGGTGTGTTCAGCAGCCCAGGATGGAGCTGCCTGTTCCAGCTGCTGCTGAGGGTCTGGAGCTCTTGGTGCTGGGGTTGGGTGCTGCACATGCTGGTGCTCCCCCAGCAGCCCTGTCTGCCAGTGAGCTGGATGTACCCACACAGGCAGGTGACTCTGATAGTGGGAGATCATCTCCAGAGCAGCACTACCAGCTATTGCATACTCTTAATGCAAACAGCAGGATTTAAACCCAAATAAGAACTGTCATTTCAGAAATGACAGGCAAATTACTGGGAGATGTTTTAAGTTCTCGTGTGTAATTTGTGCTGTTTCAGAGGGATTAAAGACCTAAAGATGAATTGGGGCCCCATAAACCAGCACTTCCCACCTTAGTTAGGCAGGGTGTGTGGGCTGGACAGGACTTTGGTTTAACTGGTGCCTTTTGAGGGGTTTAGCCTTTGGGTTGTTTCAAGAGTTGTTGCTAATGGCTTAGGTAGATAGTGAAGTGGCTTCTGCATGTCCTCCTCCCAGCCCTTGGGTGTTACAGGCTGAGCTGGATGGGTCCATGAAGGGTGGATTCCTTGAGAGCCATCAGACACAGCAGTCCAGATGTGGGCCACAGCTCAGAGCTCCCCAGGGAACCGCCCGGAGCAGGAAGAGGATTCCTCTGTGCTGGATGTTCTCATGCTGCTCCTGTGCAGCCATCACTGCTGGGCCCTGCCTGAGGGAGGTTGTGGTTGTGACAGAGGTTCCCAGGTCTTGTAGAGATCCCTTCAAATAAGGCTGTTGACCAAAGGGTAAGAGGAAGGAGGGAGATGTGGGGGGAGGAAGGTGCAGTTTGCAGGTTCAGTCTTTGTGGTGGGCAGAAATCCCTCACCAGAAGCAGAACCCTCCTGAGAAGCTCTGGGAGGAGCAGGGTGAGGAGGGAGCTGCGGGTGCTGCACAGTGGAGGATGAACGCTCATCTCTTTACTGGGGTCTTCCTGCAGGATCCCTCTGAACTCGCTCAGCTCCAGGCCCCTGTGGCATCTCAGAGACCCCCTATGGCAATAAAAGCATCAAAGCCCTGTAACTGCCTGTGGGTTCAGTTGTGGTTCTGCCGGGCAGCGAGAGCAGGAGTAAAGTGACTCATAGGTGGGTGTTGGGGAGGGAGGAGAAGGAACCTCATTAAATCCTGCAGAGGAAGAAGGGGCTGGGGACTGTGTTTGTATGTTAAAGGGTTCTTTAAAGACTCCTGCAGAGAGAGCTGCTTCAGGGGTGTTCAGCACCTCATCCCAGGGGAGCTCTGTGGCCCCGTGTCCTCTGCAGAAGGATCTCCTCTGGGAGATGCAGTAGATTCGTGTAAGCATCTTGTGCCCCTTTCACATTTAGAAGGCTGTGCTCTGCTTTTTCCTCCCTGCCATTAACCCCTTCCTGCTTCCAGCACAGGTCTCCTGCGGAGGCTCCATCCTTTGCTCCCTCGGCTTCGGTTTGAGGCTGGTGAGCAAGGACTGGAGGCTTTAGGTAAAGCTGGTGCTTGGGGAGGTGCCTTTGGAGCTGCAAGTCACGAACGTGTGTTTGTGCCTGACAAACCCAGCGACTCCAAAAGCTGCTTCCTGAGTTTATAGCAAAGCCTTTTTTTTGTGCCTGAATGAGCTGGATGGAACCATTAAGGAATGTGAGAGGTGGTGAGGATGCACACGCACGTTCCCGGTGCCTCTCTCAGCCTCCTTTTATCCCTGTATTTTTAGCAGGCGGTAATGGCAAGGTAGGATGTCGCTGTTCCAGCAGCCAGAGCTGGGTCACCGGCTTCCTCGTGGGCAGGCAGTTGCCAAGACTTCAGCCCGTGTTGAGTTCTTGTTTTCATTAATTTGAACGTCAGCAACTGTCACTGGTGAGGAGGTAAAATTAGCTCGTGCCCTCCCTCCGTGCTGTGGCCATAATAGACTCGGGGAGCCGGGCTGAGGCAGAGCAGGAGGAGGGAAGAGCCGCACAAAAGGCAGAGGAACTGTTTGGATGTGTTATTTCTCTCCCTCCCCAGCCAGAAATGGGAATTGACTTGGCCCGAGTTCAGCTGAGGGAGGGAAGGATGAGCCTCCAGCTCTGCTCCAGTGGGGTTATCTGAGGCGCTGCAGATGGGCGCTGGCATGTGGGGACAAGAGGAAGGACCCTGAGCTCGGGAGGTGGGGTATGGCCTGACCCATGCTCTGGGTCCCATGGGGAGCACTTGTGACCAGCTCTGCTGGAGCAGCTCATAGAGCCTGGGCCTGCCCCACAGTGGGAGCGGGTCAGTGACAGGTCCAGATGTGTCCAAGCGGTGTCTGCTTCATGCTCCTGAGCCTTCCTGAGCCCTGGAGGTGAGGACATGCCCGAGGTAGCTCCCTGCTTGGTGGGGAGCTGCGCAAGGAGCTGCATCCCTGTTTGTGGGGAGGGAGGTGCGTGGTTGGACATGGACACCCCCCGGGACGCTGCGGGTGCCCCGGCTCCAGCAGTGACACACTCGGGCACACGTGGAGCATCAGGTGAGCAGCAGAAGTGCCTGGCTCAGGCTCAGTGGGGCGGTCAGAGGAGCCTGTGCCAGCGCTTTGCTCCGGTCTCTGCGCCGGTGAATGAGGCTTTGCCAAAGCTGGGCCCCTCCAGGCACTCGGGCCAGGCTCCTGTTGCCTCCACTGCTTTGGGCCTTCAAGAGGAAGGTGGGTGCTGAAAGTGACCCCCATGGCCCCTTGTCCCCTCCTCACCCACCGAGGATGTGCCCCGTGTGTCCATCAGCGCGGCGCAGGGATGGAGGACGGGGTCCTGCAGCAGTGCCGAGGCAGGGGAGGGTGCAGGGGTCTGGTGGACCCCCCGAGGAGGAGTGTGTCTCCCACCACCCATCCCCATGTGCGTGTCCCCCTCCTCTGCGAGCAGTGGGGTGATCAGTGGCACAAGTGCGGACGGATGACGCTGCTCGGCCTTGGCAGAGAAAGGATTGAGCATCCTTTAAAGAAAATTATACATAATCGTCTTACAGCCTTCGCTTCCACTCACCCCTCTGAGTCATAACTGAAGGGCCCTGGAGCGTGACGTTCCTGCTGGAAGGAAATTGCCTCGGCTGGATCTGGGGCGGGGGGGAGATGGGAACCAGCCCCTGCCTGTCTGGGGATGCACCAGTGGGAGCAGGGGGCCAGGGCTGTGCTGGGGAGAGGTGAGCGCATGGACCCGACCCCGTTGCAGGAGATGCCTCTGGAAATGGCTCTTAGTGTGCTGAGTCACTGAGCTGCTCTGGAGCTGATTTGAGGCCGTTCTCCCACCGCTGGAGGGGGGATCCCCCCATCGTGCCCCCAGCCCCTTACGTTTCCACCTCCCTCTGGAGCGCTGCAGGAACAGGGCTGCAGCCTCTGCGCCCTCCTCACACATCCTTCCTGTGCTGCCCCTGCAGGCGCTGAAGCCGGGCTCTGATGTCCCCCCCCGCGGGAGCAGCAGCGTTAGGGGCGATGGGAAAGGGGCAATGGGAAGGGGCAATGGGAAAGGGGCAATGGGAAGGGGCGATGGGAAGGGGCGATGCTCCGGTGCCCTCCCGCTGCCTCACCTCCCTCTCCCCTTGCAGGGCAGGTGCCTGAGGAGGAGGCAGCGGCGCAGAACGGGCAGAGCCGTGGCCGGGGGCTGCCCAAGCCCGTGTGCATGAACGGGACGGAGCCGGGGCAGCTCAGCACCAAAGCCAAGAGCGAGCGCCGGGCCAGCGCCTCCTCCAACCCCTCGCGCAAGGCCTGCTCCGCCAGCAGCAAGATCCGCAAGCTCTCCACGTGCAAGCAGCAGTGAGGCCGGGGCCCCTCGCTCCGCACAGGTAATGGGGGACACACACACACATCTGAGCCAGGGGCAGCAGGAGGGGTGTTCTGCAGCCCCTCGTGTGGAGAGGGGAGAGCTCTGGGTGCTGAGCATCCCCCTGCAGATAGAATCATGGAATGGTTTGGGTGGGAAAGGACCTTAGGATCATCCAGTTCCAACCCCTGCCGTGGGTAGGGGTGCTTCACATGTGGCCCAAGGCTCTGTCCAACCTGGCCTTGAACACCGCCAGGGATGGAGCATTCACCCCTTCTTTGGGCACCCTCACAGTGATGAGCTTCTTCCTTACCTCCAACCTTGACACACGTCCCTGGGAGCTTCTGCACTGTGAGGGGTGCATCTGCTCCCCATTCTGCCTGGCTCTGCTCTACTCTCTCCATGTAAGCTGCTGCCTCATCCTTCCTCCCCTTGCTGGGCTGCAGCATCAGGACAGCCCCATTCCCTGCCCCGGAGTCCTCCTGGACCACGAGGTGTCCGTGTCACCGCTGGCCATAGCTGAGCCCCTTCCCCTCCTGGGGAAGCTGAGCATCATCCCCGCTCCCTCCTCCTCCTCCTCCTTCCGGCTCTTTCCAGGGCTCCGCATTCCCTGTCCCTTCTTCCCAGCCCTCATTCATGAGTGAGGCAGCGATGACTCAGGCCACCCCCGGGCTCTGCTCGCGCGTCACGGCTCCGTGGGGCTGAGGCTCTGGATCCGCCTGGATCACGACCAGCTTTGTGGTGTGAAAGGAGCCCGAAATAAAAGCGCCTTCCTCCCCCTGCAGCTGTCAGAGCTCGGGCCCCTGTGGCAGCTTCATCTTTAATTCATGCCTGGCAGTGACTCACCTGCACGGGGACCTACGGGAGCCGCAAGCAAATGCCTCGGATCCGGGTTTCCCGGCGGGATCAGGGGCTCCTCTCACCCCCTTCCCGCTCGGTTCCCAGGGCTGGGGGCTCCACTGCGGGTGCCCAGAGGTTTTGGGAAGGGGAAGGTCCATGCGGGCTGCCTGAGCCCGGTTCATGCCCTGCGGGGATGGCCGGGAACGGTTGGGAATCCCCAGCCCTGCCCCAGCAGTCAGCACCCTAAAACCATTGACAGAAGCAGCGCTTTGTCTCCAGGCCACAGGTGAAGCTTGGGATTTGCTTCCAGGCTGCGGGAGCAAGGGGGGGTGATGTGGGCAAAGGGCTGGGTGCTAGGATGGAGCTCCGGGATGGAGCGGGGTCCCTGGGACCCCCATATTCCCATCCACACGGTGCCATCAAGAGAGGGGGAACCTGGAGAACACATGGGGCCCTGCACTCACTGTAACCCCTCTGCTCCCCACAGCAGCGCCCCGGGGCCAGCCCGTGTCCCGTCCCCCCCCCCATCGCCCCGGCTCTGCCTCCCTCCTGGCGTGGACTGTGCTTGTGATCCAAAAAGAACCCAGAGGAACCCAACCACGGCCCCGCTCCCGCCTGGACCCAGGAACCCCGATGGTGGCCGCGGGAGGACGGATCCCAGCTGCTCTCCCATCACTTTGCCAAGCGAGCCCCTGCTCCGGGTTTGGATTTGGGGGTGGGAGCAGCGGGGCCGGGGCCCC